CTAAGAAAACCCACTCACAATTTCCATAGCTTTTTGAAAGGAATGTTTTCAGCGTCTGGTGATTTAGAGCCAACAACCTCGGCCTCAGATGGATGGAAACTTTTTTCTCTCCTAAGCCAATTCCAGTCAATACCTTGATAGCTAGTTGCTTTTTTAATGATGCCATTATTTATATCTATATCTATCTATATCTATCTATATCTATATCTATATCAACTATATCTATATCTATATCTATATCTACATCTACATCTACATCTATATCTATATTCTAAAAAACTAAAAACAGGCAATGTACCTGAGTGAGAACATCATCTTTATTGAATTTATTATTGAACAAAGACAGAGGTCATAATACTTTGAGTTATGTCCCAGATAACATTCTCAGATTCTCAAGTAACCTTCCTTCCTCCTTCCTTTCTTCCTTCCTTCCTTCCGTCCTTCTTTCCTTTACTTTCTTTACCTAATTACATAAAAGATTTGAGGCATTTCATAACAGTTTTTCATCTATTTCAAAGGAAAGTCAACACAACTGCCTACATCAGGTAAAGAAACAAGACAACAATTCTGCCAATCATAACCATTGGTTTTCATTCTCCAGGCTTCTTCCCCATGGGGAAGTAAAGTACACACACTCAAAGTTAACTTTGGTTTAATTACTGGTAAACATGAATCACTTTAATGTTTAAAGTGAAATCGTTTTTAACTCAATGCTTAAGAGAAATTTCTAAAAGAAACTAATTTTTTTGGTAATAATAAAATTACTTTCTTGCTTACTGTCTTGCAAAGACTTTTTCACTTCCTGATAAAGAAGAACAAAGGTCACAGATCAATGGTGTGTGCCTGCTTTTTGTAGTAATGGGCTGTGTATCCCTTTGCACTCAATTTCTGCAGGTAAGGAATTTTATTTTTAAATAAGTGATTAAGCTATTTCCCTCTTTTCCCTGTTAACATATCACTAAAAACTCTTTTATGTTTTAGGGATATGCTTTTGCTAAATCTGGAGAACTCCTCACAAAAAGGCTACGTAAATTTGGTTTCAGAGCAATATTGGGGCAAGACATTGGCTGGTTTGATGACCTCCGAAATAGCCCTGGAGCACTGACAACAAGGCTTGCTACAGATGCTTCCCAAGTTCAAGGGGTAAGCTATGGACAGGGTGGGGGTGTAGAGGGTATGTGCTAGGGCTGTTGAACCTGGAGTACATTTTCTTTCTTTTGAGACTTCAGACAATCGCCTATGTATTTCCTATGAAATAGGACCTTGCAGGATTGGGATACCCCAGAGCCATATTTCCCTGCATTTCCAATGCTGAGAAACAGGCAGTGCCCAGAACTAATGTTATAGCATGAGTCAAAATATATCAGGGTTTTGGATTTCCTCTCAGGGTGGAGGCAAAGTGTGTGGGAAGAAGCCTCTTTAAGTAGTTTAGCACACCCTTCATTGTTCTTTGTTCTCAAAGTGTAATCATTGGCTTATACTGAAAGTATACTCATTTTGAAAGGTTTAATAAGCATTGTTTTACTGCTTAGAGAAAGTCTGTACCAATTTCACTCTCATCATCCGAGTATTCTAGTGTCTCATTCACCTTACTCTTAAACTCGGGTTATGTAAATAAACCATACTCTTTTCCATTTTTGTATCCTTCAATCTGCAAGGGGCTCTTAAAGGTTATTCACTCTCGCTAGAATTCAGAGGGTAGTATTTAATCATCTCACAAAAATGTTACTTATCCTCTAAATAAAAGGTTTCTAAGAGTTTTTCTAATATTTTTTTAAAAATGAGATTACTAACCCAGGTCAAATTTACTTTCATATTGGTGTAAGGTAGAAGTTTGTTTTTCCTTCAAAATGGATAGAAATATTTTTAAAATATTTAATATAAATTCTATTTTCCATTGATTTGAAATCCTCCTGCCCATTGTGAATATCAACCTCCCATGTACAATTAGAACTATATGGGGATTTTCTATTCTATTTCATTGGCCAATTTTATTTATTCTGTGCCTGACACTTACTGTTTTAATTATTATAACTTTATTGTAAGTTTTTATTATCTGGTAAGGCAGATCTCTGCACAATGATGTTCTTCTTCAAAATGTTCCCTTTATTTTTTCCTGGACATTGATTATTCTAAGTGAACTTTCAAATCATCTTGACTTCTTTAATTGAATAAAATGTAAAAGGAAACAAAATAATATCCCAAAGAAAAATTGCACAGCTGGTTTTCAAATACTCTATAATGCCTGATAGTTCTTTCCAATCAGAAATTCTTGTTTAAAAAATTGTTGTAAAATATACATAACATAAAATTTACCATTTTAGTCATTTCTAAGCATACAATTTTGTGGCATTAAGCACCTTCATTGTTATGCAACTATCCCCACTATTCATATCCAGAACTTTTTAATTAGCCCAATAGAAACTCTGGACCCATTAAATAATAACTTCCCAATGTTCTCCCACGCCCTGATAACCACATTCTACTCTGTCTCTATAAATTCTAGAAGCCTCATACAAGTGGAATCATATAAAATTTGTCTATTTGTAACTGGTCTCTTTTACTTAATGTCTTCATGGTTCCATATCGTGAAATGTGTCATACTTTTATTTCTTTTTTAAGAGTGAATAATATACCATTGCATATGTAGACCAACTTTTTGTCTGTTCCTCCATAGATAGGCATGTTGGTTACTGTGGATAATGATGCTATGAACATAGGTATACAAATAAGGAATTCTTAATTTAGGTTTATTCCTGTCTTCAAGGCAGTTAGTACCAACACATGGAAACTTTTTGACCATAGTGTTCATATTCTGTTTGGGTCTTGCATACAGTATGAAGATGCAGATTATTTTTTAATAGCACTGCCTTAGCACCCATGGTTGCCTAATAGCTTACCTTTGGTTGCCTTAAATAATGCTAAAGTCTCTTCAATTTTGAAAAGCAGTCCTGTACTTGTACCCACCCACGTGTTTTCTACACAGAAGGCACCAACCTTTGGTCATATTTGCATAGCTGCAAGTGAAATGAAGACTTGGAACGATTGAATACTTTTGATTAATATAAGTAATCACCACAATGCTCCAATCTCTACCTATATTGAGACCGAATCCATTTTGTCTCCCTGTGTTGGCTAAACATCTGTGTATTAAGTCAGCATGTAATTTGGTACCAATGAGCAGGCTAACTTCAGTGAGAATCAAAGTGGTGTCTTTTCATAGTCTTGTATGAATTTCAAAATGGTAATTATAGAGCAAGCATCAATCTTCACTGAATAATAAGTAATATTACCACAAGCCCAATGCATGAGTATTTTCAAGGAAGCCAAATGCATAAATACCTGAAAGACATGCAGCCCACGTTTAGGACTGAATTAATCTCACACTGCCTACTCTAGCTCTGACACCCGTGAAATGAAATCAGGCAACAGATCCCAAGAAGCTGTGAATAAAATAAATTTTTATTAATCTAGCCTTCAAATGCATTAGGGAAGCCCATTATTTTAAATAACCTACCTTTTTAAACATAGAACTACCATATGACCCAGTAATTCCATTCCTAGATATATATCCAAAAGAATTGAAAGCAGGGACACAAACAAATATTTGTCCACCAATATTCATAGCGGAATTATTTGTTATGTCCAAAAGGTGAAAACACCCAAGTGTTTATCAACAGATGAATGGATAAGCAAAGTGTGGTCTATACATACAATGGAATATTATTCAGCTTTAAAAGAAATGACCTAGCAATTCCACTTCGGGATATTTATTCAAAGAAAATGAACACACTAATTTGAAAAGATATATGCACCCTTTAATTGCAGCATTATTTAAAATAACCAAGATATGAAAGCAACCTAAATGTCCATCAACAGATGATTAAAAAATATATAATATATAATGAAACACTGCCATTTGCAGCAACATGGATGGACCTAGAAAGTACTGTGCTAAGTGAAATAAGTCAGACAAAGACAAATACCATATAATTTCACTTGTATGTGGGATCTCAAAGACAAAACCAATGCATAAACGAAACAAAACACGAACAGACTCACAGATATAAGAAACAAACTGGTGGTTGCCAGAGGAGAAGGAGGTGGGGGAATGGGTGAAATAGGTGAAGGGAATTAAGAGGTAAAACTTTCAGTTATAAACTAAGTCATAGGGATGTAATGTGCAACATAGGGAATATAATAACTTCATATGGTGATAGATAGATGCTTACTAGACTTATCATGGTGATTCTTTTTAAGATATTTAAATGTTAAATCCCTATGTTGCAAATACTAATATACTATTGTATGTTAACTATACTTTGATTTAAAAACAGAAATAAAATTCTGATACATTCTATAACACAAATAGACCTAGAAAGCATTATGCTTAGTAAAATAAGATAGACACAGAAATATGTTATAGAATTTCACTTATTCATGGTACCTAGAAAAGGCAAATTCATAAATACAGAAAATAGAATAGAGTTTATCAGGGGTTTGGGAGAGGCAGGATGGGGACTATTATTTAATGGGCACAGAATTTTGTTGGGGAGGATGAGAGGTTTGGGGTATAGATGATGGTGATAGTTACACAACAATGTGAATGTATTTAATGCCATTGAATTGTACACTTATGAATGGGTAAAATAATAAACATGATGCTATGTATTTTTATCATAATAATTTTTTTAAAACGATCTTTTTGGAATAAAATAGCTTTGTCACGTGATGGTATCTGATAAAAGAGACTCCATGTCTGAGCTTGCTTGATTGCTTTTGGTTTGCAGGCTGCTGGCTCTCAAATCGGGATGATGGTCAATTCCCTCACTAACATCGTTGTGGCCATGATCGTTGCCTTCTTCTGTAGCTGGAAGCTAAGCTTGGTCATAGTATGTTTCCTCCCTTTCCTGGCTTTATCGGGAGCCGTACAGACCAGAATGTTGACAGGGTTTGCCTCTCAAGACAAGCAGGCTCTGGAGTCGGCGGGACAGGTAACCTCACAGACCCGGTTTTTAGACCAACTATGGCTGAATGGCTGTCACTGTTAGAAAAATGAGTGTGTAGTACAAAGAGACTTAGGACTCTGTTCACCTACAGCTTTCATGGTTAGCAACCTCCCACTAGCCCTTTTCATATGTGCCTCTGCTCAAAGGCTGTGACAATTAAGTTCTGACACAGGGTTTGAGTAGGTATGGACAGACAGTGGGGCATGATCAATTTGGTTACATGTTCAATTTCCTCTCAATATAGTTATTTTTCCCACATCCCAATCTGGTGTATTCTCATTTGCAAGACCAGATAGTTCAGCTTTCTGTCTGTTCAGTTTTTTCCTCTTAATGATTTCCCCAGGTCATGCAGCCCACTTGGAGAAGAGTTGTCTTTGAGTCTGCAGGCTGATGCTCTATCCACTGAGCCAAACCGGTTAAGGCTAAGAGTTGTCTTTTTAATGGCACAAACTTTTAATTTCGTACTTTAATGCCTGTTAGATTTGTGGCAAATGTCTTTCCTAAACAGAACCATGAGGTACAACTTAGATTTCAAATACAATTAAGTTTTAGTTATGCACTTTTTTTTAAAATATATTTTATTGATTTTTTTTACAGAGAGGAGGGAGAGGGATAGAGAGTTAGAAACATCGATGAGAGAGAAACATCGATCAGCTGCCTCCTGCACACCCCCCACTGGGGATGTGCCCGCAACCAAGGTACATGCCCTGGACCAGAATCAAACCTGGGACCCTTGAGTCCGCAGGCCAATGTGCTATCTACTGAGCCAAACCGGTTTGGGCAGTTATGCACTTTTTAAAAAAAATATGTTTTTATTGATTTTTAAAGAGAAAGGAAGGGAGATGGATTGAGATAGAAACATCAATGAGAGAGAAACATCACTGATCAGCTGCCTCCTGCATGCCCCCCACCAGAGATCAGGCCTGCAACCTGGGCATGTCCTCTGACCGGAAATCAACTGTGAGCTCCTGGTTCCTGGGTGGATGCTCAACTACTGAGCAACATTGGCCAAGCTTAGTTATGCACTTTGAAAAGTATGTTCGAATTAATATATGGTTATCAGGAGCAAATGAGGGAATGGCAGCATGGACATTGATTAAGTATAAGAAATCATGCACATATGCACCCTTACTCTTTAAGCAAATTTACTATAATCTAGGTTTTGCCTCTTTTAAAAGAGAGAGTGTGAACACTGCCTGAGCAGGCAGAAGCCAAAAGGACTTCATATGCCAATGGTTGTGCCTTTGTTTAGGACAGGACCCTAATTCAGAAGCTGATTATTTACCCTGAGTATGGATTGAAACAAAGTCAGAGTATAAACCAAAAGATAAACTTTACACTTAATTTAACTTAAATAATATTTAGTCAGATTAACTTTTTAAGGAAATAGAAGCTATGTTAAATAACCTTTTGTCTCAGAAGACATCTAAAGATACCATTGTAGACATTTTTTTAATGTATTTATTTTTATTGATTTCAGAGAGGAAGGGAGAGAGAGAGAGATAGAAACATCAAGGATGAGAGAGAAACATCAATCGGTTGCCTCCTGCACTCCCCCCACTGGGGATCGAGCCTACAATCCAGGCATGTGCCCTGACCGGGAATCAAACCATGACCTCCTGGTTCACAGGTCGATGCTCAACCACTGAGCCACGCCTGCCAGGCCCATTGTAGACATTTTAAATGAATTAACGATGAAGATAAAAAGTTTTCAAGGATTACCATGTGTATCTCCCATCTCCTCTCTTCCACAAGTGGAAGCAACACAGCCATGTTAGTATGAAGTAGAACTGGAGTTCAGCTGGCAGAATGTCTTGCGTTCCTGTTGAGTTGATCTCCAACAACTTCGCTGTGTTCCCTGATGATCCTTTGTCTGTGATTTGTACCACATTCTGCCATTTGCACTATAGTCTAATCCACGTAGCAGCTGAAATGTCATGGAAGTAATTTTTGCTCTTTTATTCCTAAGACTCTTTTTCATCCTTCAGATTACAAGTGAAGCCCTCAGTAATATCCGCACTATTGCTGGAATTGGAAAGGAGAGGCAGTTTATTGAAGCATTTGAGAGAGAGCTGGTGAAGCCATTCAAGACAGCCATTCGAAAAGCAAATGTTTATGGATTCTGCTTTGGTTTTTCCCAATGCATTGTGTTTGTTGCTAATTCTGCTTCCTACAGATATGGAGGTTACTTAATCTACAATGAGGGGCTCCATTTCAGCTACGTGTTCAGGTGAGGACTATAGGCCAAGGTCATAAAATATCAATATTCTGTGAAGAATAGCCTAGTTCTGTAAGTTAGCTTTTTGCTGCTTAAAAACCATCCCAAACTGGATGTCTTAAACAGCTGGGATTTATTATTTCTCAAGATTCTGTAGATTTTCAGGGTGGTTCTTCTGGACTGGGCCAGCACAGTCAAGCTTCTGAGTGGGCTTCTGTCTCCACAGGGACGCTCTAGTAGGTGAGCTTGTTTTCTTCACATTATGTTCTCAGAGTTCCAAGTGCACCAAAGAGAGCAAGTCCCAATGTGCAAGCACTTTTCAAGTGTGCATGCATCTTATTTTCTAACTAGAGGCCTGGTGCATGGGATTCGTGCACTGGTGGGGGCGTGGCCTACAGGGATCGGCTGCTGTGGGAGCGCCATTCATCCCGGTCAGCTGAGTGGTGCTCCCACTGTGGAGTGCTCTGACCACCAGGGGGCAGCTCCTGCATTGAGCATTTGCCCCCTGGTGGTCAGTGTGTGTCATAGTGACTGGTTGACTGGTCGTTCTGTTCATTCTGCCATTTGGTCGCTGGGCTTTTATTATATAGGATATCTCTTTGACCAAAGAAAGTCACACAATCAAGCCCATATTTAAAGACTAGAGAACTGTAGTCCACCTTTTGATGAAAGTATCTGATATGTTTCTCCTTTATTCTCAGCCTACTATCACACAACACTTCTGACACCAGAGTCCCACAACCCAACTTCATTCTGGCACCATGTGCCTGGAGATAGCATCAAAGCCCACACATGAAGGACATGGTCCTATAAGGCCATGCACCTTACCACTCTCAGAACCCTCAGACCCTGTATCTTTCCCTGGAGGTGAAATGTGGTGGAAGAGACTGAAAGTTACACCCCTTTCCAAAAGTTATTTCACTAACATGATTGCTCTTCATATATGAGAAATTTCAAGGGCTTAGGTGCTCTGTGTCAGGACCTGGGCAAAGTTAAATGTTTCTCATTATAAATCACCATGTCACAGAGGAGTAAAAAAGTCGTATTGCAAAGGGGTGCATACATAAAAATAGGATGAATGAACCATTTTCATAATCTACCAGACTGGCTAATGCTGAGAAAATCTAGAGGCCTGGAATGAGCAAATGAGTGAATGAGTGGATGAATAAGATGGTTCAGAGAACTACCTTATTTGAACTCTACTTACCAAAAGGGCATGTTTCCAGCTGACTCCTTCTAGGTGAAGATGGAAAAAGGCAGTTCAGGAGAATCATGTCCCTTTCTTAAAGCTGGACCCTGCTCTGCTAAGAGATTTGCTTTGAGTCCAGTTTCTCACATTTCCAGAGGAAAGAGCCTGGGGATATCAGGACACCAAGGGACATGTATATGGGTGTGCTGTGGAGGGTGGGAGGGCATCAGTGTGGTAGGGGGAAATGGCCTGTGAAAGGCCTGGAGAGCATTAAGGAAAGTGGTCCTAATAGAAATCTGTTCTTTTGGGTTCATTCCCAAGTCATGAGTTCTGTCTTCTTGCCTTTGATATTCAACATAGAAGAATTTTTTTTCTCTTGCCCCATTACCTTGACCCCAACCAGGAAAGTCTCTTTTCTAAATTTTTGCTCATTTACTAATTTAAATCCTGAATCACAAACTGGTGATTTATTTAGTTTATATAAGATTTTTGAAGAGTTATTTATTAGCCAACATGTAAAAACTCAGAGACTCTTGAAAGCTCCTAATTTCTGGCTTCTCTTTAGATCACCTTCCACCACTTCCCATTTCATTCCAGTTGCTTCTCATTGCTTTAAACTTCGGACTGGCCTCCTGAAGATGTTTGGGTTTGCAAATCTGGCCTAAAACAGTTCCTGCTTATGAACTGAGCCATCAGACACATGAAGACACTGCCCCCTACCACTATGGAGGCAGGTCCTCTGTGCTTGGGACAACTTTTCAGGGTGCCCGTTGTATCATAATGTATATAGTAACAGAGCTATCTCTTACCATGTTCATCTTCCATTTATTCATCCACTCATTCACTCATTTGCTCATTAATTACACACTATATGTTGAATATAGTTAGGAGCTGGGCCAAATAAAAGGATATAGGCAATTATATCTTTCTTTCACTGTCTGAAGCATAAATTATATGCATGCTTGGTATAGATTGATGCATTAATCACCAATCATTCTTTTATGCCCTTATGATAGGTTCAAAAAATGTTAGCATTGTAATAAAAAAAATTAACTCAATCTGGTGATTTTTATGCCCCCCCCCTTTTTTAAGAACTCTTTTCTCAAACACATTTTTAAAAAAGAAGCTATTGTAATTGAAGCAGGGTTGGGATATCTGAGCTTCTCTTGTTTAATCCTCCCCTCACCCTTTTTTCATAGTACACAATTTGAACACTGCTAATCTCTCCAACCCTAGCTACCCAGACAAGTCTAAAGTGACCTGTCCAAGGTTGCTCAGTTCTTTGCTAACAGAACCAGGACTAGATCCCCAAACGCCTGCCTTTCAGGACCTCACACCAAACACACCACATTCCTCTCTACATGGGTGTCTATCCAATTGCAGGGTGATCTCTTCAGTTGTACTGAGTGGGACAGCTCTTGGAAAAGCCTACTCTTACACCCCAAGTTATGCCAAAGCTAAGATATCAGCTGCACGCTTTTTTCAACTGCTGGACAGACGACCCCCGATCAATGTATACAGTGGTGCAGGTGTAAAATGGGTGAGTACTGAGATGGGGGTATGAGGGCAGTAGGGGAGGGTTGTGCTTATATGCGTGTGAAGAACAGCTATTGGGGCTGATCATACACCACCACCACATAGCTTCTAAATTCCTGCAGCACATGGGTTCATTCATATGCACTCAGAATGGACAGACAGATTATAAATATAAAGAAATGAAGTAAATTAGCATTAAAAAATTATTTATAAAGCAGACATTTGAAGAAGACAACAAGATCCAGTGAATGCTAAATTCTGTGTACTATAAAACACACTTAGTTCCAGAATAATGAAGCTACCCAAACACCATGTTTTCTGCTGATGTTCTGGGATGGAATGTAGAAAAAACAGTTTTTCCTGTCCAGTGATATTGTTGTAATTCATGTTTATCTGTGTTCAAGTTTTAGCTTATTATATGGGTGGCTAGAAAATTAATTTAATCTTAACAAAATATCTCTTCTCCTAATTTATAGTCTTCATAGGCGGTTTTTAATCTTCTCTGTTTGTTTTCAAATATCCTAAAATGTTCAGGAGAGCAAAACAAATCTAAACTCTTGTAAAGCTAAACTAAATTCAGAAATCTTTTTAAATTGATCAAATGACCTGTTTCTCTTTCAGT